GGCCTGGACGCATCCTGAGAGTGCTATTTGGGCATTTCTTAAGAGTGACAAGAACAGTGCGGCTCACTGTGCCACGTGGGCAGTCGGAGCACCTGGGAGGCTGTGTGCACGCTGGCGGGTGGCGGCGCCAGGTGGTGCCTGAGCACTGAGCACTCTCCTCTGCCTGCTCCTGTTACTAACCACCTTGTAGAAAGCCGGGAGCAAGGTCCTGCTGAGGCTCCCTGTGGCGTCCTGTCTGCAGGCCCATCTTCTCATTGGATGCTGCTCTGCTGGCCCCGGGGCGGGCTGTTCCTCTCATCCAGCCTGGTGTTTGGAGGGGAGAAGGGGCAGTGTGAAGGAGCAAGGTGCCAACACTGGAGTCCAGATGCTTGGGCTTCTGGCCTTTCTCTGGCAGCAACTTGCTGTGTGACCTCTGGACCTCTGTCCCCAGGAGGAAGTCACTGGCCTTTCTGATGGGGTATTTTTCCTGCGTGGGATTGTTGTGTGCGATGCAGGACATTTAGCCTACCTGGGCCTGTTGTGTCTCACCGCGTGCTCATCAGAAAGTCTGTCCTGTTCCCCAGGATCGAGACAGCTCCCCCATTCTGTGATCACGCATCTGTTCGGTGATTTCCTCACCTCTGACATTCTGGTGTTCAAGGGAAATTGCAGGTACTGATATTTTCACTTTAGGCATCTTCTCCATCCCACCATCCTGCCATGAGAGCCCTCTCATCAACATCTTCCCTGATTCTAGGGCTTCCCCAGCAGCCATGCCCTCCCCCATGCAAAACTCACCCCTCTGTGTCTGAGGCCTCGTGGTGGACTCTCTGCTTGGTGGGATGATCACTCACCAATTTATGTACCGGTGAAGCTAATGGCTCATTCCACCCATAAAAAGGCACGCTCACTTGCTTTTCTAGGCGCAGGGGATGCCTGGAAAAATCTCCTTGTGCCTGTACTTGAACCTGCTTAGAAGCTGGAGCTGGGGAAGTGTATGGGTCACATCTGTAGGTGGGAGAGCAGTGCTGGGTGGGATGGAAGTGACAGCCCAGGTGGGTCCCCAGCCTGCCTGGACAAAACACTACCAGCCTGCCCCTCCTAATCTTTTCCCCAAGCCCACACTGCTGCTAAATCTCCTTTTGCCTGTACTTGAACCTGCGCCCAGAGCAGGCTTCCCGAGGGAACCCACACAGACTCAAATCCCAACTCTGCTTCTGACTGTCTGTGTGACTTGGTATCCTTTACCCAACTGTGCAGAGCTGCCATTTCCTCGTTTTCAAAAATAAATTGAGATACGCCTTTGCTTTTCCTGGTACAAAGTAGATGCTGAAGAAATGGCAGCCGTGGTTACTGCTGTCCCTGTAAGCCTCACCCTGCCCTCTCCTCTCATTCAAAGGACACCAAAGCCCCTCTAACTGAATACAAGATACAGACTCCTTCGCTGGTGTGGAGGCCTCTGTGGGTTCCCTGTCCCATTCTAGTGTTCAATCCCAGTTTACCTTGCATCAACCCAGTGGGTCCCCTCTCTTCTGAACAAACCCAGTCCACCACTCATCCCACTGTCAAGATGCAAAGTCATTTCACCACTCTAGGCATTCCACCTAAATGGCACGATGGCCCCTCGTCACCTGGGGTAAGGCCACACTGGCATCGGTGCCAGCAGAAGCTGAAGTCCTCTCCCACCTGCTGTGTTGATCCATGCCCAGCCCCGGGGGGCCTCTTGACTGACCAGTCGGTGTTCCTCCAAGGTGCTTGGGAGCCTGCACGAGGCTGTGTTTTGCTGTGGCATGACATGGCATGACTGTTGAACCGCCTGTGCAAGATGACACTGAGGTCACACCAGCAGGCTGAGCGCTGGGGAGGCTGCTGTCCTGGCTCCACTGACCGCTGATGCCAGAGGCTAACTAGGGTGCCGCCAGGCTCCTCTCAGGCTGGGTGCTCCTTGGCACTGCTGTGCTCTCCGGGGGGTCTTGCCGACCCTCTGCCCCTGTGTCTTCTGGGTCTTTCCTCAGAGCATCCCAGGCGCAGCAGATCTTTCAGATCTTGGCTGAAATAGAAATGGTGTCGCAATTAGCAGGAGGATTTTTCAGGGTCCCATGTACCCTGAGATACTTGTACACAGATCCTCTTGAGGAACAAATCAGACCAGGTACAAATGCTGGTTGCTGAGATTCGGTGGAAGAATCATCGTGACTTTGGCTCCTGGTTTTGTTACTTACTGAGAGTACTGGTTTCCTAGGGCTGGAGCACCTTACCACAAAACCAGTGGTGAGGGTTCCACACTCCAGGTGCCAGCAGGCTACGCTTGCTCCAGGGTTCTAGGGAGGATCCTTCCCCGCCTCTTCCAGCTTATGGTCACCCTGGGCATTCCTTGGCTTGAGGCTTCTTCTCTCCAATCTCTGCCTCCATTTTTGTATGGCTTCTCTGTGTGTCACTCATAAGGACTTGCCATTGAACTTAAAGCTCACTTGGGTTATCAGAGATGATCTCATTTTGGGATCTTTAATGACATCTGAGGAAATCCTTTTTTTTTTTTTTTCAAATAAGACCACATTCACAGTCATTAGCATTAAGATGTGGATGCATCTTACTCAACTCTCTCTACTGAATGGAAATGTCACTTGGCCTCTCTGACCCTCAGTTTCTTCATTCATAATATGCAGATAGCATTCCTACTTCACCACACAGTTATGAAAACTAAAGTAAAAGGGTGTGTACGTAGCAAACATTCGATGAGTACTTTTTTTTATCATGCAGGTTCTGATCCCACGGCCATCACCAATTCCTTGACCATGCACACTGCCGCTCACCTCTGTGACATCTCCTGTTCCCTCCTTGGTCTTCCTCCTCTGTCTCCCTGACATTCTCTATGTTCCCCAGACCCCTAGCACAGTAACTTCCATGTAGCATGTGCGTCAATACAGAGCACATTTTAAAATCAATCCACAGCCCTCGGCCAGACTGGCTTTCCCTGAGTCCTCAGGACCACGGAGGAAGCAGTAGTGAGAATCTAGTTCCTCCCCTGGCCACTAGGGAGGAACTTAGAAGTCATAAGATGGGGATGCTCGACTTGGCTCTGCCACCTCAGAGCTGTGTGACTTTAGTGTAGCATCTTAACTTCTTTGAGCCCCAGGTTCCTCTTCTGAAAGTGAAGCTGATGATGGCTCTCTTGTGGCCCTGGCTCTGGCTCAGTGAAGCTCAGCTGGGATGCTGTGGGTGCGAGTGCTCCCTGAGCTCAGCCTCATCCTCATTCCTGCTCGGGCCAAGTGCTTGCCCCTGCTCAGCTCCCCTTCTTTCTTCAGGTGGGCTTCTCTGCCTCCTCCTCCATTTCCGATCCATCACCCAGGTGAAGGTCCCAGGCCGCTGCCTCTCCTGGCAAGAGCTTCCTCACTCAGCCTGTTGCCTTTAGATAGCCCGGCCCTGAGCAGATTGTGCAGGCTGCAGACTCTTGACTGGGGATTTTACATCCAGGCACTAGGCCTGCCTCCCTGCTCGGGTCCCGCTGGCACCATCAGGACCAGCCTGATACCAGAGAAAGAAGGTCTATTGTGTGACTCAGGAGAGGCCTGGCAGGGGCCTCTGGACCCAGCACAATGAGGAGACAGGAGACCGAGTACTCGTGGGCAGCTAGATCTAGGTCAAGTCTGCGTGCTCTCTAGTCACACAGACCCTCTGAGCCTCGTTCTCCTCTGCTGAGAATGGAGACGACAGTCCTTGCAGGGCTGTGGGGAGGACCACCCTGACGCAGAGGGAAGGCCCCTGACATCCATGACGCATTCTGTGTGCTGGTGCAGGGCGGAGGCTTTTCTCTTATAATTGGTACAACTCTGTGCAGAGTTAAGGTGAGAAAAGCAAGGTTCGGACCTGTGACACGACTAGCCAAGAGCTGACATCTGCCATCCTCTCTGCACTGGTCTAGCTCTTACCCCAGAGCTGGCCCCGCCACTCCCAGGAGCTCGGATCCTGGATCCTAGTGGGAAGGCACCTTGGCTCTTGGAGGAAGGGGCTCCAGTTTGGCCTCAGTGTCACTTAGCCACGTGAGGATGTGGGCAGGCAGCCTGCTGGCTCGTGCCACCTTCCACTGGCAGAGTGACCAGTACCTGTGGTCAAAGATGGAGCGGCCTGGGTGACAGCACTCTCCAGAGTTGCGGTTCTTGTCTTCAGTGAGTTCCAGGCAGTGCCTTCGCTGCTCCTCCCACCTCCTTTCCTGTCCCACTTCCTTCTCACCTTCTGCTCCGGCAGCAACCAGCTCAAGGGAGCCCCAGAACACTGAGCTTTTTCCCCCTGACCCTGGCCTGAGCAGTTCTCTGGCAGAATGCCTTCTCTGCCAGATTCTGACCTGTCCCTTATGCTCTGTCTGGGGTCCCTCCCTGGCTCCCCTGGCCTCATGCTGAGTAGGGAGCCCATCTCCAGCTCCCACAAAGCCCCCATGTGTCCATTTGTGTCTCTGAATCAACCAAGTGTGATGGCATTGGGCCTTGATCCTTCTCTTTTCGTGGTCCAGGGGTGTTTTTAGTGGGGTCAGGGAGGGCCTGGGCCAGTGGTTCTTGGAGGGCGGGCAAGAGAGAGGCCATCTTGAAAAGGTTTTAACATCTCTGTCCAACTCCCTCTCACCCCGTGTCGGAGCTGGCTGGACACAGGTGGGGTGTGGAGACAGAAGTTCAGAGGGGTGGTTATTTTTCAAAATACCTCTAGGCAATTCACCAGCATCCTTGCCTTGGGAAGGCCACTGAGCTGCCCAGGGAGACAGAGGAACACCCCTTGTTCACAGGGGCTTGGGAAACTCAAGTTCGCACTCAGGCCTCAAGACAAGGAAGCCAATGGTGACACTGGCATTAGTGCCTGACCTTGACCCAGTGATGCGGAAGAGGGTGGGTGTTTGGGGAAGTGAGAGCTGGTGGAAAGAGGACCTGGGGGTGAGAGCAAGTGCAGGACCCCTGAGGTTCCTGTGCCGTTGTGGAGAGACCCTCCTTAGGCTGATAATCTGTCAGTGGTAAACTATTTCTTTTTTGTTTCAGGGTGTGACCTTGTCCTGAGCTGGTGAGAGGCGCCTTCTGTGACTTTCAGTCAGATCAGCCACCAGATCCCAGCAAACATGACCCTCGCAGGTAGGTCCCCACATGGCACGGAAGCATGGGCTATTCCTCTGCACATAATGATTTATGGACGCACAGAGACGTGTCTACTTGCAGGGCCAAGTAGGATCTGACCCCAAAGTTAAGCAGAAAAGGAGACACGCGTAATATGAAAACAGGCCTTCAAGTTTCTGAAAAGTAATGCAGGCCAACATCATCATCTAAACTCGGCTGTCAGATAACCCACAACCACACTAGTGGGAAACCAATAATGTATTGCCCAGCTGTGCCATCTCCCAAATCAGTGATTTTTAAATTTTAAATTTTTTTTTTTTTTGTGTGTGTGTGTGTGGTATTGAAGATTGAACCCAGGGTGCTGTGTCACTGCTACATATCCAGCCCCTTTTTAATATTCTGTTTTGAGACAAAGTCTCATAAATTTGCCAAGGGTGGCCTTGAACTTGTGATTTTCTGGCCTTAGCCTCTGAAGTCGCTGGGATTTCCGAACATGCACCAGTACGCCTGGCCCCAACGTAATGACTTTGAAAGTGAATAAAAATAAGTGCAATTAGAGTTTTTGGCCACCCCCTCTCCCCCCAGAAACAATTTCTTCTTGTGCAAACATTCTGCCTCTGTGCTTTAGCGGATCTAACCACAGGTCCTGGAAGAGAGCACAGGGGTAGAGCATGGAGGTGCCTCCCACGAGGAGGAAGGGCTTTTTTCTCGTCCCAGCCTTTGTCGCACCGTGGTGGCTCCTGACCATCTCAGTCCCCGGGGGGTGGGTGGGTGGGATCATAACTGAAGTTTTTCTTCCTTTTGCTCATCGGTGTATTTTTTCTTTTAAAGTTTTTCGAATGCCCATGTGGTATTTCTGCAGTCACTTACGTTTTCAATTGTGAAAGGAAACCAGGGAAGAGCACTCGGCTCTGTGCTGGGCAGGCTGCTGCTGAGAAGGCCTGAGAATGCCGAGCACAAAAGCATGTCCACTAGCTCCAGGGAAGTGGGGAGGGACGGACAGGGGTCACCCCGTGGCCCAGGCGGCTCTGAACTGTGACCTCCAAACGCAGAGGGAGTTGTTGTTGGTGGAGATACACTCCTGCCTCATGGACAGCAGCCACGCTGGCTTTGGCCACTGTGCTGGGAAGGTCAGGAAGAGCAGCCCCACGTGGCACCCAGCAAAGGTGTGCAGCAGAGGGACACTGAGGACTCCCTGTGCTGTCTTCTTATCCACCCTTTGTGTGGCCCTACTCAGTGCTTCTGGTAGAATGGAGCACGGATTTCCTGCATCCCAATGCCAAAGAAGTGGCCCATCCAGGGTGGGTGTGGGGAGACAGACAGCTGGGTCCCGGGGTCAAGCTGGGGGCTGGTGGTGGTGCTTGGGGTCTACACCTGAGGGTGCCTGGCATTTGGTGCTAGGAGGGGAGAAATACTGGAGGACAGATGGGGCCACTGGGTGCTCTGGAAGGGGACAGATGAGGGGCTGAATCACACGCCGGAATCCTAAGGAGGTGGCTCCAGACGTGGGAGGTGTGGGTGCAGGTGGCTTGGGTGAACTCCAGGCCAACTCATGTGCACGTGGGTCTCTGAGGCCAGTCAGGGTCCCCAACTTCACCTGTCTGATGTTTCCGCAGCCTACAAGGAGAAGATGAAGGAGCTCCCACTGGTGTCCCTGTTCTGCTCCTGCTTCCTGGCTGACCCTCTGAATAAGTCGTCTTACAAATATGAAGGTCAGTGAGGACTCAGTTGGGGAAGAAAGGAGTAGAGGCTCCCTCCTGTGCATGGGGGTGCAGTCCCCAGCCCCCATTTCGTGAAACTCTCCTTGCCGTGCACATGCTCCTACCCAGAGTGCCAGGGTCCGAGCTGCAGGGGTCCAGCCTGGGGCACTAGCTGGCCGCTGGGCTCTGAATCAGCCCTCCCGAGAGCACTCCCCCTTAGCTTCACCTTTGTTCATTTCTTGAACAAACAACATCAAGGGGAACCAGGCAGAGAGTCCACCCTCGGGAACAAACCAGAAGAGAAGAGGGGACACGGGGTGGTTGGGGGGTCTCCTAGGGAAGGAGAGATGTCCAAGAGTGTGGAGGTGGGAAGAGGGCTTCCTGCCTGGGCTGTGTGGCTGCACTGTTCAGGGCCAGTGTCAGAGATGGTTCCCAGACACTGGAGGTCCAGGGTCTCCTGCTGGGTGTGGGGGACAGGTCACCTCCTCTTTCCTGTTGTGAGGAAGGGGTGGGTTGGCCTGGCAGTAGGAGACGGCGGGTTTGGATGACCTGGGATTGTCTTTTCTGTCTAGGCTGGTGTGGGAGACAGTGTAGGAGGAAAGGTCAAAGCCAGCGGAAAGACAGTGCTGACTGGACAGAAAGAAGAGAACAGGGTAGGAGGAGTCAGGGTCCACAGGCCGAGCGGTCAGTGGGTAGCGGGACGAGGAGGGGCCTGGGGGGGCAGTGGGTAAAATGCACCACTGTCTGTCACCAGCGAGGACAACGGGCGCAAGAGCTGACCCTCGGAGGAGGCCGGTGGTAGAGGCAGACGCCAAGGCAGCTGCTGTTGCTGTGGCTGGTGTCAGACTTCACATGTCCCCAGGGCCCTACTCCAGGAGCCTGGGGCCTCACTGTGGCTATGGGCCTTGGGCCCTATCAGCCCTCTGACCTTAGGTAGCAGTGCTCAGGACAGAAGCAGGCCCCTGGCCACTGGTTTGCCATGGGGACCCAGCTCTCCGGGTCCGTGTGCATGCTTTAGGGGGCCCAGCTATTCTTGAGCAGGTCAGCAGCCCTCGCTCTCATCCTGCAGCAGACACAGTGGACCTGAACTGGTGCGTCATCTCGGACATGGAAGTCATCGAACTCAACAAATGCACCTCGGGCCAGTCCTTCGAAGTCATCCTGAAGCCACCTTCCTTCGATGGGGTGCCCGAGTTCAACGCCTCCCTTCCCCGGCGGCGAGACCCATCCCTGGAAGAGATCCAGAAGAAACTAGAGGCGGCCGAGGAACGAAGGAAGGTAAGTGCTCCCCTGTCTTTCTTCGCTCCATCTTAGCATGGGCAGGAGGGAGCTGGAGAAGACGGGTGGTGGCCCTGAGCCGGGGTAAGGCCATATCTAGACAGGGCCTCCCGGGGACAGGGCAGAGAAAGAGGCTCCAATAAGGGAAAGAAAGGAGTGAGGGCTCCCGTCCTGCAGGAGCTCACAGCTTGGTCAGGAGGACAACGCACTGTGCCACTTGTCTCCCAGAGGTGGCCTTATATGAGTGACAAGAGTAACACGGTAAAAAATGTTAGGGATTTAAGGTAAGAATTTCTCCACTGGGAGGGAGGGGACAAGGCCATGGTGCCTTTCCTCAGTCGGCCTTCTGGGTTCCCTACTGATGCTCGTGGCTCAACTCTGAGGCCATCTTGGTATAAGCTCTTCTTCATCCTTCAGCAGCAAACAATCCTTTCCTCTTTGGAACTCCTGGGGCACTTCCTCTCCACTCTTAAAGGCTCTTCTCACATGCTAGTCTGGGTTTTAGTTATTTATGTATTTTTTAAATGTTTAATGTGTTCTAATTAGTTGTCCATGACAGTAGTATGTACTTTGATACATCATGTATAATGGAGTCTAACTTCTCATGTGCATGATGTAGACTCACACTGGTCATATAGTTATATATGTACATAGGGTGACAACGTCTGATTCATTCTACTTTCTTTCTTACTCCCATACCCCTTCCTCTCCTTTCATTCCCCTATACATAATCTAAGATAACTCAATTCTTTCTCAACCCCCTCATTGTGAATTAGCATCTGCATGTCAGAGAAAACATTCGGCTTTTGGTTTTCTGGGGATTGGCTTATTTCACTTAGCATGATATTCTCCAGCTCCATCCATTTAACTGCAAATGCCTTAATTTCATTTTTCTTTAAGGCTGAATAATATTCCATTGTAGATAGACACCATATATTTTTTTAATCCATTATCTGTTGAAGGGCACCTAGGTGGTATTTCTTATTTCTACTAGACCTTTTCTTTCTTTCCTATTTTGCTAGAATAATACCTGGAACTTAGTATGAGATCATCTAGTGTTTGTGAATTCATTAATTAATATGATGGTGGTGATGGTCCTGAGGATATTTAGAACAAAACTGAGAAACATCAAGGGCTGTGGGAAGCTCTGCAGGTGGTGGGAGGGTGCGGGAAGGTCCCTGCTTCCTGCTCACAGGTGGGAAGGCAAGCTCAGTGAGGCAGGCACGTGTCCTGAGTGCTAAACTCTTAATCCAAGGTGGTGAAGTCTGGATTTTACCCTGAAGAGCCTTTCTCTCCCTTTGTGCTTCCTCAGTACCAGGAGGCTGAGCTCCTGAAGCACCTAGCAGAGAAACGGGAGCATGAGCGAGAGGTGATCCAAAAAGCCATTGAGGAAAACAACAACTTCATCAAGATGGCTAAGGAAAAACTGGCCCAGAAGATGGAATCCAATAAGGAGAACCGGGAGGCCCACCTCGCCGCCATGTTGGAACGGCTGCAAGAGAAGGTAAATGGTCCTGGATTCCAAAGGAGGCTCCTGGGGTGCTCCGCCTCCCTTCCATGGCAAGTGTATTTGGACCTACATATGTTTCAGGAGGAAGCAGCCTCAGCAGTAATGGAAATAGTTCTGTTAGGCAGGATCCTTAGAGAGCTCAATGGGATGCTTTGGAAAGTTACAGGCAAGAAACACAAACCAAGCTCCGGGTTTCCTCAGGGGATTTTCTGCAGTAACACAACTAAAAATTCTCATGGTCTTAGGGACCTTGTATCCTTCATTAAATGGAGAAAGCTTGTTTAAGGCAAGGGAGTAGGGACAGACACATGGCTGTGCATCCCGGGCTTCATCCTTGAATGAACTGATTTAATGAAGGTTGCTGACTCTGAAGTCCCAGGTAGGACAAGCTGAGTCGCCCATTGAGCAGGAAACAGTTCTCTCCAGACCTTTTGATATGGACCAAGTGAGTCTCAGGTTCTTTCCACGAGGATGCTATTTGTCAATAAACCAAACGGTGTCACCTGAATATGAGAAATGTGAGAGACTGGGGTTGGTCCCCCGTGTCAGCAGCATAACAGCCCGTGCTGCGCTGGAGAACATGCTGGCCTCATTTCCTGAGTCTCAAGGCCGCCCCAGTTTCTCCTGCAGCTCCTGGGAAGCTCCAGCTCTGTGTTTTATTTCCAGGAGCCGCCTGCTGCGCGGTGACTCCCGGGACCCGATCGGTGGCCTCGTCCCATGGTGAGCAGCGTGGTCCCCACTCCTTCCCGCCCATCCACCTAGAAACTGTACTGGAAAGATCTGGTTGCTTCTCCAGGGATCTGTACGTTGTGCAGGCCCTGGCTCTGGTCAGCACGTGCCAGCCCCTCGCTCTGATGCTATCCTATGAGGGGCAGCAAGTACCCTGTGGGCGGGAAGCAATCTGGGTCTGATTTCAGGCTTCCCCAATTAATAAGGGGGTGACTCGAGACAAACTCTGGAAGAAAAAATCAAAATCTGCAGTCAGAATAGGAGGGGGCATGGGCTCAGAGGCCAAGTCCAAAACAAATAATTGAGGCTGGTCCCATGATTGATAGAGAGTTTGAAAGACTGTTTGCAAACACTTCTGTCTCATTATACTGATGCCTCCCAGGTCCATGGTGTAAGCAGAACAGGCATTATCCTTGATGCAGATGAGCAAACCAGTCAGAGAGTCAGATGACTTGCGCTGGGTGACACAGCTAACACGGGTAGAATTGGGACTAGAAGCCAGTGCTTCAGCTCCGGGTCCAGGTGGCTCTTTGCTTGTCTGTGTTCGGGAGATCAGCCCATCATTGTGTCACTAGGCTTTCATCACTGAGAGGGCCTTTGGAGACAAGGAAAGGGAGGCTGGAAACCCAGGGCCCGGGAGCTCACCTGAGAAGCAATGGGAAAGGTTCACACTGGGGAACATGAGCTGTGGAGGTAAGGTAGACTCCAGGCAGCAAGGTGCCAGCACAGACATTTGAGAGGGCGTCTTTCTCTGGGACCTTGATCCCACTCACCTTTACTCACTGGAGGAGACAGCAGGTGGGGTGCGAACACCTTCTGGGCCAGGCTTTGGGTCACCAATGGTCTACCCTGGAATTATTTGGTGCAAAGTTTAAAACTACACATACTTGGACCCTGCCACAGACCTACTACCATGGCTTTCTAGGGTTGGTCTCTGGGGACCACAGAGGCTCCCAGGTGATGCTGACACATGGTGGAGCTTGAGAACACTGCTTGACCTACACTGCTCTCTGCCTCCAACCCATGGGAAGTTCCAGGGCCTCTCTAGGGACAGAGCTCTAGGTTAAGGTCTGGCTTGGGAGCCTGGGCTGCCTCAATGGGTCTACTTCAGGTCAATTCTGCCATTTGAACGTGGTTATACCAGGGACTGGAAGGGGGGTCATTTACCCAGCACCTGCCAAAGGCAGGACGCAGCGCTGCAGGTAGACGCTGCCATCACCGAGCTCAGGAGGTGCCAGAGCCGCCCTCCAGGCCCCGCCCTGATCAGAGAACGTGGCCCACCTGGAGGAGTCGGCTGAGGCCATGCAGCCTGCCATGCAGCTGACCATGCAGCGGGTGGGCCGTAGAGGGCGGGGCCTGCCTTTGGGCTGGACTACAAATGAAGGCTCTCTTACCGTAAGTGTAAGAAAGCCGGAGGCGGAGAGGGGTGGGCAATAAGCAATAAGGGGGATGGACCAGGAATTCAGGCAGGTGTCGCAGGCTCGCGACTTGCAGGAGGGGCTTGCTCTCCTGCAGGCTCCTCCCACACATGCTACCCCAGCGGCTCCCTGTTGTAAGTCAAGCCAAGCCACCAGTCCAGCTGTCACAGTAGCCAGAGGAGGGGGAAAGAGGCTGGGGCCCTGCGGGAGGCTGGGACGCACCAGTCCCTGGGCTCACTCACCTGCCGCCTTCTGCCCCTCCCAGGACGCCTTGGCCGACACTGCTCCGCTGTTCCTGATGGCCATCCTGTGCTGCCCTTCTCTCGCCCCCCTGCCTTCCTTTAGGCCGGGCAGCCTGTGTGACCTGCCCTGTCCCTCCCTTTCTTCCCAGGACAAGCACGCGGAGGAGGTGCGGAAAAACAAGGAGCTGAAGGAAGAGGCCTCCAGGTAAAGCCCAGAGGCCAACGCAGTTTCCAGGACAGCCGGACAGTC